AGTTTTCCCTGTCACTCTGTGTCTCTGTAGTAGGTTCCAGGAAGACAAGAGAGCCCCTCATTCCTCCACCAAAGGAAGTTGCAGCCCATACTGCTGGTCAACAAATGCTGAATAAGATGATAAGCTCTCCACCTTACTGCACTTATTTTAGTGACTTACCAAAGCTACCTCTTATCTATCTTTAAGCCAAACAGAAATGTTTTGGGAGCCTCTAAAATTTATACAGTACACTACAGTTTTTATTTGTGATTCCATGAATTTTAAATTTAAAAACAAAACACAAAATTTTAAAACCATAATGTCTAGTGCTACTGATGGTTTGGGAGATTACGTGAAATGAACGGATTAGATCATGAGAGAACATATTTAGTAGTATCTATCAATATATGTAAAATGACTTTCATTTCTAAAAACCAGTTTTGTGAAAATAATCCTAAGCAATATAAAACAACTTTCCTATATGTTATGCTCTTGTTCACACTAATTAAAATCTAGAGGTAAAGGCCCATGTAGAAAAAACATGGCCATGGGATAAATCATTCAACAGTAGCAAAGACAAGGTAAAAATCACCCCATAATATATAAAACAGCTTTGCTAATATTTAGGATTATTTCCAAGGGGATTACTAAAGTCCAGAGAACTTGAAAGATTCCCCCAAATCATGTTTTTAAAAACATATAATGCAAATTAGAATAGCTTCTATCAACCATCTTTTTTCTTTGAGACATTGTTAGAGTCTGTAAACAGGTCAGGATAGCGCCTGGCATATTGCCAGAGGGAGCGGTTTGTGAAGTAACGCCAGCAAGCCATTAAGTGTGGAGATTCCTTATTGGTTGGCTGCTGTATGGAGTTTATGTTAATTAGATAAGCTGTGTGGAATGTATAAATACCTCTGTTGTCCTACAATAAACGGCTCCCACTCCTGCTGTATCAATCTACACAAGTTGTTTGTTCGTCACCCCCCGGTTATTTTGATGCAGCTGGACTGTGGCAAGACATGTTCATTTTTTACTTGTATAGAAATCATTTTCTTAACATTGACACTTCTCTACTATCAAGTGAGTGGCAAATATATTTTTAAATTTTCAGGTATATTTAGAATTTTAAAATTTATTTTAACTGATAGATTAAAAAATAAAACTTAGCTGGCACAGTGGTGCACATCTGTAATCCCAGCATCATGGGAGGCCACGGCAGGAGGATTGCAAGTTCAAAGCCAGGCTCAGCAATTTAATAAGGCCCTAAGCAACTTAGTGAGACTGTGTCTCAAATTTAAAAAAAAAAAAAAAAAAAGTAATTGGGAGTTCATAACCCACTTCAATCTAATGTATGAAATATGATATGTCAAGAGCTTTGTAATGTTGTGAACAAAAAAAAAAAAAAAGTAAATAAAAGGGCTGGGGATGTGGCTCAGTGGCTAAGCACCCCTGGGATCATTCACTGATATCTAAATAAATAAATAATTAAATCATACCCATGTTAATGGGAATCATGTAACATTTAGATAAATATATACATTGTGCAGTATTTAAATCAGGTTAAACATACCTATCTCCTCTAACATTTATCATTCCTTTATAATGAAAACTTTAAAATCCTTTCTTCTGGATTTTAAAAATGTATAGTACATTGTTGTTGTCTAAGGTCACCCTTATATGACAATGTGCAATAGCATCCCCGAACATCTTGCTCTTATCTAACTATAATTTAATATCCATGGATCAACCTTTCCCCATTCTTTCCTTTACCCACCTCTCCCTAGCCTCTGGTAATCACCATTCTACTCTCACCTACTATTTCTTTTTTTCCATCTATATCTATGAAACTAAATACCTTGCTTTCATGAAACACCAATTTAATGAGAGACACCAAAAGAAGACTGTCACTAGAGATTTGTTTACCTGTGACAAAACCTAAGGGGACCATATCTGTCATTTATGTCACTCTGTCTAGCCACATTATCCAAACTCATAAACTATTAGTACATTTAATCTGTGTTGGTTCTTTTTTTTCATACATAGCCTCATTTTCCATTATTCTTAAGGACAGCTTCAGTGGCAAAAGCCACCAGCTTACAGGCATCATCCTAAATCAGATGCTACAGATATGAAAGGAATGTGAGCCCTCCTTTCTTTTCTCTTTTCCCTGTTGGATCATAGCTCTTTAATTCGTTGAACCTAAAATGGCCTCAGAATCCTTCTCACCACAGTATTACAAATAACCACTAATGATCAAAAACCTGAGGGCTAAGGCTATCTACCATACTTGAACTCAATAATAAATCAGAAAATTCATTTCTTCATACTTTTGAAATTGATTTCTCCATTGGTCTATTAAAACTATACCCCTTCAGGATCATTAGTATACAGAAACTCAACATGTGTCAAGTCTTCTAAAATATTCAATACTAAGCCCTTTTATTTTAAATGTCTTTATAAAGCAAATAATGAAAGATAGACAGGAACTCACTAAAAATATAAGGTTCTCCATGGTGTGCATGTGTTTGTAACATTTCTCAGAATTTCACCAATTTACCCAGATAATTGCCAAAACAGAACTGAAAATAATCAAAGAATGATCTTCTGGGACATAACACTCTATATAAAAATAATGAATTATTTCTTTTACAGAAACAGGGATACTTGTAGATAAAAGAAGCCAAGGAATTTTCCTCTAAAAAGAGAATCCTAGAAAACTAGGTAATATCTCGCCCAGATTCTTTTAAAGCCTCCCCAGACTTACCATTTGTTACCCCCAATAAATACTAAACAAATAGACATGAATTAAAAACAAAGCAAAACACAACATGCCTCTCAGAATATTGAACACATAGACATGAATTTAAAGCAAAGCAAAACACATCATGCCCCTTAGAAGTGCCTGAGCCTGTGCCACCTCTAAGTGTTTCATGGTGTTTATCTGGAGGGCCTCTGCCAAAGAAACCTTTGGGAATCCCACATTAAGCCAGGCTCAAGGCATTGAGAGTGCCTAACAGGTATATGAACAACACGCTTATTATGTCTCTTCCCTGGTGAATCTCACCCGGAATATGAAAGAACAATAAAAGCAACCTCAGGCCCAGAAAGCATCCCCATTTCCATATAAAATAGCGTCTGTTTTTCCCATGCTGACTCTGCAAGGCAGCTTATTTACAAATATATAAATAGCTGCAACTTTACTCCAGTCTCATTGAAAAATCAAAATGGCATCATGCAAGAGAAGCATCCTAGCATACTTGGCTCAGTGAGTGAAATGTAAGTGGATAGGAGCCAAGCTACTTGACACTCACTAGTCAGCTTAACCAGATACCCTCCAGTTTCCTGTAGTGAAGGTCCCAGGGTTCTGCTCCACAGAGCCAGAGAATTCATTTATATTGATTGCCCAGGGATTGGATAGCGATTTAGAGCCAAAGCCCAGGAAACAAATTTCAAGTCATGCTTAATATTTATAATCTCATGGATTCACAGGGGAATAGCATTGCCTAAAAGTCACAGCAAGGTTTCCAATATAGCTACTTAAAATTAGCTAAGTCTTTTTTTCACTCAAATCCAATGAATTTTAAAAAGTTTCACTCCAATCTTTTTTCCACCTGACCAGAATTACAGGAGTTTAAATAAGCAGGAAGAAAAGCTGCATTTTAATTTTTGGAACACAATATATTGCCTTTCCAAAATTCATTAAAGGTATCAACTACTAGTTTAGAAAGAAATATATATATGAGAAATATTGTGCATCTTGACTTTTCTTTACTCCATATGCCTACTAAACATGGAAATGCTGTGCTGTCCACAATTCCTGTCTATAAAGCTACCTAAATCGCAATACATGACATTATTGGTTTGTACAGTTATATTTGCTGAAGCATCTACCATATCCCCAATATAAAATCCCTCTCTTCCCTAACATTCATGTGTTTTACCAATTAATGGGTAGTTTACTTATAAGGAACCATGTTATTAAAGTAAAATTAACTAAAGTATCACAATATAGGAGGTTTAAAAGAAACTTTTCTCAAAGAAAAAGTGTTTGAAAGTTAGGTTATGCATAGCATCTGAGATGATTGATGCTATTTCCCTTAGAGAATTCATATGTTGAGATTATCAACAATTTTTAGTAGAGGCTACCCATCAGGAAATGGCAGCATTCATAGGTTTTCCCACAAAACCACCTATGTTGCATGTTAAACCAAGTGGAATTTTGATGCTTTTGTCATGGTAGTGTTTTCATACACAGGGGTATTCATGCCTGATTCAAGGAATAAATATCATGATCATATATGTTCCCTGCCTTCCTGGTGACTCAACTTTCTGAATGATATTGAACTCATCCTCAAAATATTCCCAACCATATTGAAATTATTATTGCCCTGAACAGTTCCTGACCAATTGCCATTATTTAAAAGGTAACTTCTCTTTAAAAAAATAAAAATAAAAATTCTAGGTGTAATCATAGGAAAAAACAAAATAACAAAGGAAAAATAGTAAATTCATTTTAAATGAAAAGAATATCAAGATAAAAAATAAAACTGCAGAACAGTTTATTTTACTTTGTATTCTATGTACTACAGTGAATGCCTAATAGCTAAATTCTTTTAACTTATGTGACAAATGATAAATGTAGAAAAAAATTCAATAGATAACAGTTTTCTGTCTCTGAATTTACATTGTGTCTTGAGTTTTAAAGTTTACTCACATTTTAAAACCTAATATTACTTATGCCTACTTTAAGTATAAATAATATTTCTTCAAAAAGGTATTTAATTACTATCCTCTAAAGATTATGGCTCTGTATATATAAAAGGTATTTCATATACTATAGAACAAAACTCAGATGACAAAAAATTTCATAAATAAAAAATACATAAATAGCACAGCCCTCGAGTGAGGGATAACACTATTGAAAAGGTTTTGCACTTTTTAAACAAATTATTTTGAAATTTCTTTAGAACATAGTTTTGTAGCATTATTAAAATACAAATAAAAATTATTATTTTACTTACATAGTATCTCTAATAAGAAGTGCACTTCCCAATTTGAAACAGGTTTTATCCCCTTCACAAAATGCACGTCTCAGAGAAAAGCTCTCTCCTAGATCAAAACCTGTAAAATGAGACACATTATTTAATCCAGCAGTTTTATTAAATTTAAATATACTCACAAAAACATTGATTTTCTTAATGAGGATTTTTTTGTTGTCTTTATCTATAGGCTGATTTACTTCAAATGAAACCCTGATGTTTGGGATCAGCAAAATTCCTTTGTTTTATCTTTTCCTCCTTTTAGGGTACAGAAGGATGAAACTCATTTTGTATATAGAATATGTAGCCTTCTTTCTGAAGAAAAGATCGCAACTATATTTCAAAAGACTAAAATATTAGTATCTTTTGACATACATATTACCTAGGTAAATAGAGTAGCTCATTGTAGCATCTCTGAAGTGTAGACAAAAAGTTAGACAAAAAAAATACAGTATTCATATTCAATCTAAACAGCTCTTAAAAATAATACTCTAGGAGAATGCATATTGATGTGGGAAAATACTCAGAATTCAGATACAATACGTGTATTATTAATATGTTTGTGTGAGTGTGTGTGGGTTTAAGAGAAAATATGAGAGGGAAATAGAGAAGGACAGAAGAAGATGATGGAGTGGAAGAGAAGGAGGAAGGAAGAGAAGAAGAAAGATTTGTAGGAATGTTATGCCAAAATGCTATTGGTGATTTTATCTGGGTGGTAAGGTCTTCTTTGCCATAAATTTCCCTTTCTCTTTAAAAAATTTCTATGGTGGATACAACTCGTATAATTTTAATTAAATTTTTAAATTTTCTCCCCAACAGTTTGAAGTGTTGTTGATCTTAAATTAAATGATACATAAAACTACTTTCAGCATTTTCTGCACCATCTGCTTTTAATTTTTATGTTAATGCTACAGTCTTAAGTTGCAATATTTTAAAAAAAATCACCTACAATGTACTGCATTTTTGGTGATCATTTTACACTAAATCCTACTTTACCAAAGATTGTAAAGCTTACCTGAAACTTCAAGTTCATTTCTGTTGTCTTGTGTGAACTGATATCCCACTGTCCTCAGAATAGGACATTGTTTTTCTGAAGAAAAAAAATATATAAATTATTTGTACCACATTTTCCAATCCAGTTTTTCAAATCAATTTGAATCTTATCATATAGTCAGAAAATTAAAATAAAAATGAAAACAAAAAAAATAGAACCACTTTGTTAAATTTCTGTAAAATGTGGATAAAGATATTCCCCACCTGGCTTTGTGGATATGAGGATTCCATGTGGTTGCTTATGTAAAGTGCTTAGGATATTGCCTGGTACATAGTGGGTACATAGTGGGTACTTCTTAGTGTTAGCTATTATAACTATCATCACTATTATTCTAACACCCCAACTGTTCCTATGTATTTGACATTAGGAAGTTGGCTGAATTTAAGAACATTGTTAAACTTTTATATCCAAAGCATACTCTAATAGTTAAACAAGTTTACTACTACTACATTTTAATATAAATTTGATTCCGGTTTGGGGATTATAGGGTCCTTGCTTAGCATCTGGACAGCCACCTTAAGTGATAGCCGCCATTTTAAGAAAAATTTCACTTTCCTGCCCAAGGGCATTTCTGAGAAAGACTCAGCACTCCCTCATACCAACCCAACCCTTAACCGCCTGCAGTAGTACCTGCCCAGCTCTAATCCCTGTTTTGCCTCTCTCTGTCTTTGGAGAGTTGTGCCTTTATTTGTAAGCTCTGATGAATAAACTCTCCTGTGTATCTCTGCCTGGTCTCCATCTTTCATTCCTTGCTCCCCCATCTCTTAGTTCCTCACTTTCCTTTTAGGGATTAAATGATATTAAACTTTTAGAAGAGAAGGGGACATGTATGGAAATAATTAACATATAATTTAAAAGCCCCAGAGCAAAGATCTCTGTCATACAAAAAGTAATCTAAAATGAAAAAAAAAATGAGATGAAATCATTGAAAAAGTGTTAATTATGTGCCAAGGAATTAGTGCTATTCACAGAGAAAAAAGATAAAACCAGACTCTACTCACAGTGAATTTACATGGTCAATAATACCATACTACTGTAACACAGTAATGTATATACATACACTGATATTTAAACATCTGAGTACATATTTAAATCTAATTCAGGCTGGGTACTGTAAATATAGTACTTAATTCACAAAACAATGCAGCCAATTTTTTTATTATGTCAGGATAACTATACAACTAGGTGGCTAAAATCTTAAACCAAATCAATAATATATTTTGGCATCATGTAATCATAAGTTTAATTTGCTAGGTCTAAAATTTATGTCTGAGTTTTATAACTTAAAAGTTTTTCATATAGACGGGAGATAAACTGTTTAAAATAAATTGATCTTCTGCTCTGTGGGAGTAGAAATTGCTGATCATCCAGTTCAATGGCTAAACTTCTCAGCACTTCATTTGACAAGCATTTGTCACTGGCCTTCGCCATGGTGACAAGGCATCAATTTTGATATATTTAACCAGAAGAACAAACCGTATTCTAAATAGTGCTGTCAATCAGATTTAAAAGTAAGAAACAAATAAAATGTAATATACATTTTGGATACACAATTTGCAAAGTGAAATTATAGTACTAAATAATTTTGGAGGTTACTTCCCTACTTTGAAACTCTACCTCATAGATCTTAAGATGGCATATCCTAATAGTAAAATCACCAGATATTTTGTAAATATTACCGATTTTTCCTGAACCCATAGTTTTTTTTTTTAATAAAATCCTATATCTCACCAAAGATTTCTACACTAAAAACTAGAGAATGTTGCTGAGGAAAAACTAACGATCTAAATAATTCATGGGATAAACCAAGTATTTAGATTGGAAGACTCATTATTATTAAGATGTCAATTCTTAGCTTTATCCATAGATTCAGCGCAATGCCAGTTAAAATCCCAATAAATTGGAGAGTGCGTATGTGAGTGTCTGTATGAGAGAGAGACAGAGAAAGAGAGAAAACCAACAAGCTGATTTTCAAATTATTATGGAGATATACATAAAAAAATAGCTAAAAGCAAAATCAAAGAACATATTGAAAACTTAAACTATCAGATGTTAGACATTTTTAGTATGTGGCATGGATGAACATATAGAGAAAAAGATCAATGAAATAGACCAGAAGGTTTAAAGATCTGTATACGTATAGTCTCCTTATTTACTCCAAAACAATCATTGAAATTCAGTGGCAAAAGGATGATCATTGAATAAATGGTGATGGTCAAAGAGATATCCATATAAAAACCACTGAATCTTGATAATTGCTTCACACCATCCACAGAAATTAATTAGAAATGATCATAAAGATGAAAATAAAGACAATAAAATAGATTCAGGTAGAATAATAAATCTTCAAAAACTTGTAGCAAAGATTTTTTTGAAAGGAACACAGGAAGCATTGCTCACAAAAAAAGATAAATAGGACTTCATTAAAATTAAAATCTTTATTAATCAAAATACATTAGAAGAGGCCTGGGAATGTGGCTTAGTGGTTAAGTGCCCCTGAGTTCACTCCCTGGTACAAAAAAAAAAAAAAAAAAAAGACATTAGAAGAGTGAAAAGACAAGCCATAGACCAGAAGAAGGTATCTGCATACATACACGCAATAAAGCATCATATATGGAATATACAATGAGCTCCCATAAATCAATAAGAAAAATATTGAAATGCTTATTTTAAGTTTGTCCAAAAAACTTAAGCACTTCAAAAATGAATATTCAAATTGTCAAGCCACTGCTTGTGGAAGTGAAAATTACTATAATCACTTCAGAAAGCTGTTCAGCAGTATTTAGGAAGGTTAAATACACATGAATTCTGTGACTTGGAAATTCAATGGCCCAAAAGAAATGACAGCAAAAACAATGAGTGTAAATGACCCTTTTACATAAGATATCCATGACAGCATTATTCCTAATAATCTAAAACTTAAAACAACCCCAAAGTTCATCAGCAAGATGTTGGTATATACAACAATACATTGTATAGCAATACAAATAGAACAAACTAATGATACATGCAACAACTGGATGAATCTCACAAACAACATGAGGCAAAAAAAATATATATAAAATTCCTCCCCAAATATGTGCTGCCTAATTCCATCTACATGAAGTGCAAAGACTGCATAACTAATCTATGTCAACTGGTCGACTGGGAGCATATACAGAGAAGCTTTCTGGGGTTCTGGAAGTGCTCTCTATTAGAGTAATAGCTAAACAGACCTATAAATACATACGTTAAAACTCCTTGCACTATCCACTTAACATTTGTTGACTTCCATGTGTGAAAGTAGTACTTCAACAAAAGAGGAAAACAGCATTTCTATGAGAAAATATTTGAAGCTGAACCTTATTCTTATAAACAAAAATCCTAAATTCTCATCAAATTTTTATTATGGCCATGAATGACTATAACAAATAAAAGACTTTACAATATATGTATGCTTCAGTAGATAATTGGCAAAATGAATCTTCAGACAACAGAAAGGAACTTCCCACTGTAACACTTTCCTAATGAGGTAGAGGTATGTTGGCCTATTTCCAATTTGGAAACAATATATATGTTATTTAAATTCTTCCAAGGACTTTGTGAATATATAATGATATCAATGCAATAAACCTGTCACTTTGAAATGAATGGAATTCAACATTTCCAGCAATATTTATGTAAGTATTTCTCCATTAAAAGTCTTTAGCTAATGAAAATCAAATGTCATTTTATACAGAACACGCTTTGTTGTAAAAAGTTGGACAGAACAAATTAAAGCTAAATGTTGGATAGAACAAATTAAAGCTAAATAATGTTAATTATTTGTGCCTTAAGATTTAAGGCACAATAATCCTAATGCCTGAAATCTGATAAATCCATTGCATAAAGTCGCAAGGCTAGGGGAAGTGGCAATCACAAGTTGAATATGCTAATTTATTTACATATCAACATATTCATTTTAATATAAAGTAAAGCACAGTTTAAAGTAAATGTACATGTACCTTAACCATTTACAGGTAAGATTCAAATATACGAATATTGTGTCAGGTAGACAGAGACCAAGCACTGTTGCAGTGTTTCTTCAAAAGTCCTCTGGAATATTTCAAAAGTAACAACTAAAATTTATCTCCAAAAAATGTACTGCTTAGAGAAAAAAATCAGCAGATTTTTTTTTCAAAAGCAAATACAAATGTCTTTTAAAAATTCATGCTAAGATGTTAATGACTGTCGGATCCACTTTTCTTCTTCCTTGGAAAATTTAAAGGACTGAAAGGGTATTAAAAAGAGCAAAGGAAATAGAAAGCTAGGCAGCTAGATCAGACTTGTGTATTCCATGATTTTAATTAATTATCTACAAATAAAATACATAATTCTTTTTTAGTTTAAAAAAATTAGAATCCCTCATCATCCAAGGGAACCAGACCATGACTATTCAATGTCAGAGTTGAAATACAACATGTTTCCCGTAAACAAACATATTTTCTGCATATCTTTTCAAAAACATGTTAAATAATAGCATATCTAAGAAACTGTATTCATCCTGTATCAGAAAAAAATCCTCCTTTTTAAACACCTGCTTTAAAAATAAATCTCTAAACACACACACACACACACACACACACACACACACACACACAATCACCTTTTCCTCCTAATCTTTAAATCCTCATACTATGATTTTACCTTCTGGCATTACCTCCTCTAGCATGAGATTAGAGCATATCTTTTTTTAAAATTAATTTTTAGCTGATACATAGAAACATAAAAAATTGTACATATCTAGAGGTTAACAGACAAGAATTTTTGGAGAAGACACTGAAAGCATAGGAAACCAAAACAAAAGTAGACAAATGGGACTGCATCAAACTAAAAAGCTCCTGCGCATCTTTTGATACATATTTTTCTTATCAGTTTTCTGGTATTTTCTGTACCTACTTATATAAAAGTCTTCAGTTTAATATAGTATTCAATAATAGCATGTTAAAAATCCTTCTTTTTCCACTTTTATTTATTTTTTATTTTTGTTGGGGGTGGTAATAGGGATTGAATTCAGG